GCAGAAATCCCATTTTGGCAGAAATGTAAATCTCATTTTGGTGGAAATCTCATTTTGGCAGAAATCCCATTTTGGCAGGAATGTAAATCCCATTTTGGCAGGAATCTGACTGTGTCCCTCTCGCTGTGCCCCCAGTGACCATCAAGGACGACAGGAACCACAGCAGCAGCCCGGGGCCGTTCCTGCTGCAGGCCGTGTCCCAGAACACCTCGGTGTCGGTGGGGCAGTGGGAGAAGTTAGACACGCAGATGTGCAACAATGTCACCACAGCATCGCTGAACGTCTCTGAGAGAGCGGCCAACTGGACATCCCATGCAGAGAACCTCTCCTCAGTGCAGATCATGTGAGCAGCGACCCCCTGAGCCCCCGGCTGGGACAAACCCAGAGCGGGGCTGAGCACATCCTCCAGAGCCCTCTGCATTGTCCTTTCCTTTTCCTTTTCCTTTTCCTTTTCCTTTTCCTTTTCCTTTTCCTTTTCCTTTTCCTTTTCCTTTTCCTTTTCCTTTTCCTTTTCCTTTTCCTTNTGGGAATGGATCACCTGGGCACCCACCACAGCGGCGCTGCTGCAGGTGGCACCGAGACACCAGGGCAGGCTCCTGTCCCCTCCCCAGGGCTGGGGACACCAGGGATGGAGCTGGGACACCAGGGATCCATCCCAGGGCTGGGGACACCAGGGATACAGGTGGGACACCAGGGATCCATCCCAACACTGGGACAGGGCAGCAAGGACACCAGCACAGCTGGACTTTGTCCCAGAGAGGCTCTGCAGACACCAGGAGAGCAGAGCTCTGCATGTGGGGAGAGCAGGAGCAGCTGAGCCCTCCCAGCTGGCCAGAAGGAGCTCCTGGCTGCTGTTTCTCCTCCTTCTGCAGCTTCTGGAGGAGTGCAAAGGAGCAGCAGAGTTCCCTTGTTGAGCTGCTCCCTTTGGGGAGGAACCTTCTGGCAAAATGTTTGTCCTTCCTGCCTCCCCCTGCCCTGCCCTCCCTGCGGGTCACCAGGGGCTTTCAGGACCCATCCCTGCAGAGAACAATCCCCATTTTGTTCTTGCAGCCTGCACAGAGCCCTGCCAGGCTGGGACAGCCCTCAGAGCTGGGGTTCCTCCTGCTGCAGGTGGGAAATGCCCTGCAGAGCTGGCATTGCTCAGGTGTGGGGCTCTGGCAGCCTCCTGTCCCCTCTGGATGCAAAATCCATCCTCATTCACACCTCCAGCGAGCCACGAGGCTCTGCCTGCCCTCTCTGCCTTCCCTGCTGCTGGAGGCAGGGATGGGGTGGGTTTCTGCAGCCGAGGACACTGCAGGCACAGACTGCCAAGCCCTGAGCCCATCCCAGCGCCGGGAACTCGCCCCACACCTCCAGCAGCACAAGGAATCCTTTCAAGCAGTAAAAAACCCCGTCTGTGGTCACATTCACAAAACACAATATTTGCAAAACCGGCCAGTAAACCTCAACTGTTGTTCACCCAGAGCAAACAGCCCCATAAAGGCTGGCGAGGAGCTGAGAGCAAACACAGCCCTGCTCGATGGGCTGGGCAGAGTCCACCCTGTGCCAGGCAGGGCCAGCAGCCCTGGCAGAGCAGAGCAGAGGATGCCCCGATGTGCAGGGTGGCTCCAGCCCTGCCCAGGGCCGTTCCAGCACCAGGAAATGGAACACAGAGCTCTCTCTCCCCGGCCTCGCCTTCCCCATCACCTCAGCCTGACCCTGAGCTGCTTTCCCTGCGGTTGGCATTTCCCTGCTCCCAGGCAGGTGCTTGTGCACTTGTTTAATCTGTTTTATTCCCTGGAGCAGGATCTGGAGCCATCCCCGTTCACGGACGCTGATTCAGGATCATCAGCTCTAATTACTGAGTAATTAGAGAGCCGGGTTTCGCTCTGGCCTCGAAAAATTGGCCTCCATTTTCTGCTGTGATGGTGGCACTTCTGGATTGGTTTAGAGTAGAAGCTCACTGTCTGACACAGGTGATGGGTATTGGGAAGTTATGGTAAATATTGTACACATAGTTTTTAGTATAAAAAGATAATACCAGAGTGCCTCTGTCTGTCCTGCTGAGTGGGCCTTGGCTGGACAGGAGAAAGAATTTTCTAGATAAGGAACACTAAACAACCTTGAGAAAGAGAACTGAAGAGTTCTGACTCCTTCTTTGACTGCCAGGCTGGGAAAAGAGAATTTCTGACTCATCTGGGGTCACTGTGAGCAGCAGAGATGCCAGCCCAGCCCTGGCGACAGCTCCTGCTGCAAACCAGGAGGGAGCAGATCCTGATCAGGATCCTGATCATCCCCTCTGGTGACACACGGCCATGTGGGCGGCACCGGGGAAACACCCCGAGCATTTCCAAACAACCCCGAGCATTTCCAAACAGCCCCCGAGCATCAGGGCTGGGGCTGCTGCCCTTCCCCAGAAATGTAAATCTAAGTGGGACCATCCCTGGAGCAGGATCATCCCCGTGCACGGACGCTGATTCAGGATCATCAGCTCTAATTACTGGGTAATTAGAGAGCCGGGTTTCGCTCTGGCCTCAATTCCTTCTCCTGTCCCAAGGAGGTGGAAGGTGAGCAGGAGGAATCCCGCTTGTTTCAGGGACAGGGAAGTGCTGTCCTTGTCCCCAGCACTGATCCCAAGTACTGCCCCAACAGCTGCAAAATCAGCCTTGAAATCAGCCTCAAAATACTTCAAAATCAGCCTCAAATCAGCATCAAAATCAACCTTGAAATACTTCAAAATCAGCCAAGGACCTGAGAGGGAAATGGGGAAAAATCCAGGAAGGAGAGGAGAGAGAAACTGGAGCCATTTTCCTCTGTGATGTTATTTGAGGTGTCCAGCCAAAATTACTGGGGAGGAATCCCACCAGGGATGAGTCCCCCAGCATGAAAATTCCATGTTCACTATTGAGGGGCTGTGAAAAGGGGTCAGGAGAGACCAGCTCTCCCCACACCCTTGGCCCTTCATGATCCAGCTCTTTCCAAGCAGGATCAGAAGCTGAATTTGAGCATTTTTACAGGGCTGTTCCCTCTCTGGCTTTTTCACATCCTCTGGAATCTCAAGAAAAGCCTGGAGACCAAGACTGGAGGCTCCTCCACCTTTCCAGGGTTTCTACAAGAGCTCACAGGACTGGTCACCATTCCAAGGGACACAGACCTTGGTGTCCAGCCCAGGGATGTCCCCAGTGCCCATCTGAACCCCTCAAACAGGGCTCACCCCTTGTTTGTCACCAGTTCTGGGCAGGTAGGAGGAAGTGTCTCTATCAGTGAAACCTCCAGGGGGGTGTGGACGTGTGAGCTGGACGGGGAGGAGGAAATACTTGAATATTTGCATTGACCTCATCGCAGTCTGGGTATAAACGGGGCTGGCAAGGGGCGAGGCTGCCTCAGTGCCAGGGCAGGTGGGTGAGCAGGGGGCACCAGAGGGGTCATGGCAGCTTTCCTGCTCCTGGCACCGCTGCTGCTGCTGGGGACGGCGTCTGGCCAGGCAGACACAGGCACAGATAGATGCCTGTGGCTCAAGAACACCATCGAAGGGAATTTCTCTGTGAAAACAACACCTGAGACTTACCAGCCCAGCACAACCTACCTGGGTAAGCCAGCCCTGCCTGGAGCTCGCAGGCTGCCCTCTGTGCCTGACCCTGCTGTGCTGCTGCAAATCTGCTGCAAATGCACGTTCTGATTCTGCTGCAATCCTTTCTCATTCCAGGCGGGTTCTGGCTGTTAATTTCCATGGTGCTGCTGTTACCTCTTTGTTCCTATCTCATCTTCCCCTCTGCAGCTCAATCCCAAATCCCCTCTCTCTGCTCAGGATGATTTTTTCCCCCCCCTTTATCTTTTTGCACAGAAGGACAAAAGAAAAGACAGAACTTGGGGAAGCTGTTTTGTGGTTTGGTTCCCTCCCCTCCTGTCTCGGACTTTGTCTTTCTGCACAGACAAAGGGGAAGAGGTGACTTTGGTGCTGACAAACGCTCAGCATCCACGGGAGGAAATGGATTTCAGGCAGCAGCAGGATGGGGCAAACACAGCTTGGGCCCTGAGGCCCAGAAAAACCCAAATTCTGAGAAAACAGTGGGGAAAAGACACCCTGAGCCTTACCTGATCCTCCCTGCAGGGAGGAGGTGTGAGCCACATGGGTTCCCTCAGATCCCACCAGGCTGCACCCACAGCACTCAGCTGGGCTCCTTTCATTCGCTCACTGCTGTTATNTCTCCCAGGGAGGTTGAGTGAAGCTGAACCAGGCCAGGGCACAGAGCTGCCCCCATCTATAGCAATTCCCATTTCACATTCCAGAGCAGCCCAGACTCCTGTGAATTTAAAGTTTTAAACCATCCCAGGTATTTTTTGGCAGGGCAAAGCCCACTTTGCCTGAACCTGCAGCAGAGCGTGCCCAAGGTGAACAATTAGGTAAGCTTCATTAAACCTCCCCAAAGAGGATGTTTGCTCCCATTACTCAAACACCCCATTTCCTTTGAAAGCAAGGGAATTGCTGCCTTGCTTATCAGATTCTGTTTTTTAATTATATCCATTAAGTTATCCAGGAGAATTGGGGTAGTGCCCATCTAAACTCCTCTCACAGCCTCATCCTGCTGCAACAGCCTCCACTGAGTTTTGGGGTTGATTTCAGGGTTGACTTAAGGGTGGACTTAAGAGTTGATTTAAAGGTTGATTTAAGGGAGGATTTCAGGGTTGATTTCAGGGTGGATTTAAGGGTTTATTCTTGCACTCCCTCCCCAGGGCTCTGCCACCACTGGGGCTGTGGCATTCCCACTGCAGCTCCCTCAGTTTTCCATTCTCACCCTGCTCCCTTTGGCTCTCCAGTTTGGGTCAGAAATGCTTTTTTTTACTGCCCACCACAGCAGTTGCACACACACAGAAAGATCTGCTGGCCACAGCACGAAACGTGCCTGCAGCACAGGAAATAAACTGATAAGAAGCAAAAAATAGAAAGATAATGTTGTTCTCACCCTCAAAAATGCTTCTCTGTTTGATCAAGGAGCAAAGCAACACCAAAGCTCACATTATCAAATAAATTAATTCAATATTTAATCAGAGAGAAATCAAAGACTTTGGGGATTTTGCCAGGCCACCTCCTCTCCCCAAAGCTGCTTTATTTACCACGGCACAACTCTAAATCTCACATCAGCTGGCAAAACAGGAAGGTCTTGAGGAAAAGCAGAGAAACCAACCCATTGTGAGAAGCCAGATGGGCAAACTGCTGGGAGGGTCCTGGTGAAACACCTGCCCTCGTCCTGCAGGAGCACAGAACCAGGGCTGGCTGCAGGAAACGCTGGGCAGGGAGCTGAGAATGGAGATTTCTGCTGAGCAGCTGAGGCCAGGCTGATTTCACTTGACAATTGTTTCCTCTCCCTTGTAAACCACCACGTTCTGCTCTGTCTCGTGCACCTCCACCTTGTACAGGACGCCCTGGGGCAGGAGCTTCTGGAGGCTGTCCCAGATGAACACAGCCACGTTCTCCGTGGTGCTGAGGGGGAACAGCAGCAGGGCCAGGGCTCAGAGGGCAGAACTGACACCAAAATCTGCACCCAGGGTGGGCTGGGGGATGCTGAGGGGCAGCTGGGGACACCTGGGCCACGTGGGGATGGTGGCACTG